GAAATCGGGAGAAACCTCAGAAGATCGACGTGTTTGAGGACTATCTGTACATCAAGCTCTACGATCAGAGTATCATTAAGATGAACAAGTTTGGCAACGACAACGGAACCTACTTGCTGAAGGGCTATCGGTCGTCTGACATTGGCATTCTGCATCCCATGAAGCAGAATAGAAATAGTAAGTATTTAGTATCCTATTTAAATTGACTGCGATTTAACCGAAACGTTTCTTGCAGTAAGCAATCCCTGCGCCAAGGATCCCTGCAAGACCTCCCGCGCCCTCTGCATTCTCTCCGCCGAATCGTCCACTGGCTACAGTTGCAAGTGCCCCGAAGGCTATGTGATGACCGATGACGGCATGTGCAAGGCCCACGCGGACATTCCCGACTACTGTCCGCTTCAGTGCAACTTGGGCACCTGCAAGATCGTGGACCACGTGCCCAAGTGCATCTGCCAGTCGCAGTTCGAGGGGGAGCTTTGTGAGCACTATCGATGCTCTGGCTACTGCCAGAACTACGGCGTTTGCTCGGTTGCTCCGCAGATGCCGGGATCTCAGGATCCGCCACCGCTTAAGTGCACCTGCACGGCGGGATGGTCGGGAGCAAGATGCGAGACTTCCATGCCCGTTTGCCAGAGCCGCTGCCACAACGGAGGTTCCTGTCTGGTCTCCGAAACGGAGGGCATGAAGTGCAGCTGCCCGAAGATGTTCACCGGCGAGCAGTGCGAGCACTGCAAGAATCTCACCTGTGAGAATGGCGGCATCTGCCGGGAAACCCTCTCGGGCACCCCGCAATGCGAGTGTCCGGACGGCTTCACTGGCAAGCGATGCGAGATCGACGAGTGCGCCGATTTCTGCAAGAACGGAGGATCCTGTGTGATCGGCACGAAGGGTCAGCGGCAGTGCAAGTGCCCCAGTGGCTTCTTTGGCGAGCACTGCGAGTCCCGCTCGTGCCGGGACTTTTGCCAGAACGGAGGAACCTGCTCGAAGCGGGATGGTCGCCTCAGCTGCACTTGTCCGCCGCGCTACATTGGCGAGAGCTGCGAGTCGGATCTGTGCAAGACCTCCAGTCCGCCGCACTTTTGCGACACCTCCAAGGTGCCCATCCGGGATCCCTGCACGCTGATGATCTGCCAGAATGCCGGAACTTGTCACATCATCAAGGGCGTGGCGCTGTGCAACTGCACGGAACAGTGGAATGGTGACTTCTGCACGGTACCCGTTCCGGATGACAATCCCTGTGTGCGGTATTGTGCGAACGGTGGTGTCTGCCACCTGGATGAGTACAGCCTGCCGCATTGCAGTTGCATCGGGGATTGGCAAGGAAACGCCTGTGAGCTGCCGCCTCGTTGTGTTGGGGGAGAGTGCAACGTCTGTCGGCCGGGCAGCTCCATCAACGAGTGCTTGTGCGAAAACAACAAGGTGGTGCCGTGCCTGGTGGACAGTGCCGATGCCTTGAAGGGTGAACAGGAGTCTACTGAGTCTGGCGGAGTGTTCTCCGTGCTGGCCGTCATCCTGGCTGTGATTCTACTGGTGCTAGCCTTGTTCGCCGGTGCTGTTTACTTCCTCAAGTGAGTTTTCTTTCCATATTATTTGGTATTTATCTAATCCAGCATTCCTTTTTCCAGGAAACATCGCATAGCTCAGCCATTCTCCCACGCTCGCCTCACGGACAACGTGGAGATCATGCTCACCAATGCCATGTATCGCGGTGATGCAGATGAGGCGCCGACTTTTGCCAATGAAGATGACAAGGTGAGAAAATAATTATACTAACCAATTTTATAGCTTTTATAGCCTTCAAAGATTTTATTAAATCTAGCTAACGCATTCCATTTACCACAACTAATTCTAGTTTATTTTGCAGGGTAACTTTGCCAATCCTGTGTACGAATCCATGTATGCTGATGCGATTCCGGAGCCAGTAAGTGCGGAAATAACGCACAGCACGGCTCCGGACGAGCGGAAAGGTCTGCTGCAGCACACCCACGACGAGAACCACACGCCGGACATCCTCTGATGATTGACCCGCTGCGACCGGGAGCTGTGCTAGGCGCAGTTGGCCACGGAGATATCCACATCCCACATCCCAACACTCAATAACGATTTGAACTCGAACAATGGACTGATAGCTTAGCCATATAACGAACTTTTGTAAACATTTGTTTGTGTACATTTTGTTTCCTTCTATTATTTTTGATATTATTTTAATTTTGGGCTGACCTTGGCCCCCATCCAAAGAGCTCTAACTCGGGGCAGCCTTGCTCCCCTTGTTATGTCCCTAATGATGATGTCCTTATACCTTAGAACCGGGAAGTCTTCTTTTCGTTTGTTTACACGTTTTACAAGCAATGCGCCTTTTGATAAATGAATTTTTAACATACGTGAATCTGTGTATATCCGAAACGTTTTGTGGATCTGTAAATTTAGTAGTTGGTAGATTTAGTTAAAGAGCTCGCGAGCTAAAGAGAACGTTGTACATATTTTATAAATTTATTGCCCACAAGCAGCCTAGTTAACATTTAAACGGAAAAAACCATTCGAGCAGTCACTAACAATTTGCCAATTAGTGAACGCGAGCGAAGTCGAATTCGCCTCTTGAGATTGACCAAATATGCATTTAAATTAATTTAGTCTTCACAATGCCAGGACGAAGCAGCGCCAGCATAACCAGAATATATAAATTAACGAACAAATTGCTTAGGAATAATTGCATCACATAGTTTACACAATTAGAATACTTATGTCTACATAAATGTAGCATTATTTAGTTTGCACGATTTTCAAATCAATCGACCTAAAAGCGAAAGAGATTTCCTGTATAAAATAATGCTCAGATAAAAGCCAAATTTTAACACTTATACAATGTAAAAAATGATATTTATACAGATAAAGATGTATGTAATTAATTAAGAAAAGTGCAAGTCGAATAACTAACGCGCAACAGAAAAACGCACTGCAAAAACCACTGTAAAAACATAATAAATATGCATTAATTCGCAATAAATTAAAGGTAACTGTGTTTCTTCTGGGGAAAAACAAAAAGGATCTAATATGGAGGCACAAAGAAATTCTAATGCCGTAATCATGCATTTTTTCTCAAGGCATTTCCACCACGATCGTATCCTGGGAAAACTAAAGGAAACACTTTTCCACATTTCCCATTGCGCAAAGCTGTTCAATCAGGACCATCTCACGGATACTGATAGATACACTTGTTACCCACAAGAAAACCAAATCAGCCCGTGAAACCCCAGATAGCTGGGTCCATTCAGGATGTATTTGGTTTTGTTCCTTAAGAAATGCAAGCGATTTGAATTTGCCGATGCACAGGTAGCCGGGATACATTTCATCCTTTTCTTGCTGCAGAAAAGGATCACAGGGGCATATTCAAAGATTGTGTGTGTGGGAGAGTTCCTGCGAAACACCGCATGACTTTGTTTTCGGCTGGAATAACTCTATTGTGGGCAGGGGAATTTGTCTGTGGGAAAATCAGTGCCAGAGTTTTCGAATTTTTGGCAAGTTAATTTGTTAAATGACAATTAAATTTACTGGAATCCTGAAAAACAAAGGAATAAGGCAGGCGCTAGGATAAAATCTGCAAATAATAGAAAACAAGTTTGCCCACAAAATTTTGCAAATGCCCTAATACTTATACAAAATCCTTATAAACGCATGTTCCCTAGACAGAAATACATATTTTGGACGTTTTGGCAATTTAATTTGTTAAATGGCAATACAATTTTTGGAATTCCGAAAAACAAAGGAAAAAGATAGGCGCTGGGATTAAATCTGTAAATAATAGAAAAAAGATTCGCTTAAAAAAGATCGTTATTCCCCCATTTTTATACGAAGTCTAGCGATTCCAGCGATTTCCCTTGCTAGAAATACCAATTTTTAAATATTTGGACTTTCTGTGAAATTAAATTTCCAGAAATCCCAATAAACAAATGAATAAGCTAGGCGCCAGGATGAAATCTGTTAATAATGGAAAACAAGTTAGGCCAAAAAAATTTGGTAAATACCCTAATATCTATACGAAATCAAGGTAAGTGCACATTCCCACAGCGATTCCCAGGAAAGAAATCAAAAGTAAAAATAAAAGTGATAGCCGAAACCCCAAGGAAAACGCATGGGATTCCGATCCCAGCATCAAATCACAGCAAACACGGTGCACAAAGGAATGAAACCTAAGGATTCGGCGAGACAAGTGGAATGCAAGGAGGCGGGGGGCGGGGAGACCTGCGAACAACCACAAAGCAAACAAGCAAAGATAAAGGATCTCAAGGATGTGTGGGAAACACACGAACAAGTGCAACGGTATTTGGAAATGCAAAAGGATAATAGCGTAAAGAGGAAATGGAAATTATGATAATTTTCGATCTCTCGGCGGAGGTGTTGTTGTTTTTCTCACAGCAGGATCGGGTAACAGCAGCGCCGATATGATTGAGTGTGGGAAGTGCCGAGGATCGGAATATCGGAGGATCCGAGTCCCAAGGCCCAAGCAAAAAGGTGGGGGCGACGCTCGACAGCCACACGCAAGGCAGCCGCAGGACGAGAACAGGCTGTTGCGGAAGTTATTACGGAAGTGAAATCAAATTTTGAATAAAAAATCAAGAAAGGGTCGAAAGGAAAAGGAAAGCAAGGGGAAATTGAAAATGGGAAATGGGGATGTAAATCAATTAGTAGCTAGAAACCTTATTCAATCACTACAATTTGGTTACTACACTAAACGAAATTTTTACACAAAAAGGGAGACATGTATGCAAAATAGATTTTAGTTTATATTAAGGCTCGTAAGAATGCAGCGAACAAGACAACGGATTATTGTAAACCGTATAGTAAACCTGTTCCGCAATCCTTGACCATTAGATACTTTTCAACAAATACATTTAAATTATAATTATAAATACAAATCATACATTTTATAATGCATCTTATTTTCCTTTTAATCTGTGTCGATTTAATCCTAAAGTATTGAGCACAATTTTATAATTTACAGCTTAGATATTTTCAGCTTCAACTTCCACAATATCCTGAGTGTAGCCAAACAATCTCTTGAGCATGTTGTAGATTATCATTTGTCGCGTCACTTCCGCCTCGTACTTCATATAGTCCTTAAGACGGTTCTGCTTATAGAGTTGGTCCAACAAATCGAAGAGCTCCATTTCGAGGGCTCTCAGTGGAGCTTCTAATTCCGGGGTGTGGGTACCAGCGAACAATGCCTGCATATAGATCGTTGAAATCTTCTCCAGTGCCACGTCCAAGGTATTCAGAATGGAATCCTCCGGATCGTGGAGAAGCTTCACAGGGCCCGTGAGCTTTGGAGAAGCACGGTATTTATGCAGACCATCTTCAGGATCGCTGGCCAAAGCAATTAGTGGCAGAATAGCCATAATTAAAACCAGTTGCAGCGTATTTCTCAGCATGATAAAAATGTTTTTTATATATTAATGTTTTTTGAGATTTTTTAACGCACGCCTGAAGATCACTGCGCGCTCTCGTTTGCACTAATTTTGGTATTTCGCACATTGAATTAGCGCTATGAGCTTATATAGCATGGATTGGGAGCTTACGATTGTCTTATCTGTTCAATCGAACTTGGCAAAAACATTGAACATAAGTTGCAAGGCGATTTCCGTCGCATTCATAACATTATCAGTTTAAATATTGCTTCCGATTTTCCAATAGGTTCAAGTACTCGATCGAATAATGCAACTAGAAATGCTGTTCATTAACCTTCGTTCCCGATAACCTTTCAACAAAATAATCGATTGATTGCTTGTTTCGAAGCATTTGTCTTTTATTATCATTATTTTCACTCTTTTTCCAGTCATCAAATCTTGTGTCAACTAAAAGCTAAAATTACAATCGTTATGATAAACCACTAAAATAGAAACATGAAAGACTTAACGATAAACACTATACAATGAAATCTACATAACTTAAATAGAAACTCGTTTAATTAATTAAATAATTGAAAAATCAAAGATCATAATTAGTTAATGAACTACATAATAGGCGTATAAAAATGCTTAAATGAGAGTTACACAAAAAATATACAAAATCACAGCTGAACTTAAAATGAAGAAAGCGAAACGTGGGTACATAAAAACACATCGAAATGGTTGAAACTTAATGGGGTTCTAAAGCATTCGCGTTGGTGATCTTTGAAAAAAATTGCAATGGAAATAAATTAACAATGGATAAACGTAACATAGAAAGTGGGGGTTGCTTGTACAGATCATCTACCAGGGCCTCCAAGCGGAGCTGGACTTTTCGATGGCCCCGGCTAGGAATTTCTTGGAGGAGGGCTCATCCAAGGAGCAGTCACTGGACTCGGCATCCGCATCCCTATCGCGCTTCACGATTCCGCTGGTGGAGCTCACTTGCTGTTGCTGCAAGTGGGCCAGCGATCGCGAGCATCCGCTGCTGTCGTGGCTCCCGGCGCTCAAATTGAGGGATCCGCTGGTGTTGAAGGAGGTCTCGGCGCTGGTTGGCGGCGGCGTGGAGAAAACGCCGGCGAAACTGTGCTTACTCAGCACATCCACGGTGGGCGAGGCAGCCCGCGACTCCTCGCCGTGGCTGGAGATGGAGGAGATGGGACTCAGCGGTGGACTGCTCGTGCTGTTCTTCGCAGGCAGCTGCGTTTGCACGGGCAGTGGGTGGATTAGATTTCCCTGGAGATTGGCCTGTGCAGCTGGATTGCTGGTTGGGGGCTTGCTGAAGGCGCTCATCCGGAAGCTCTGGGTGTAGTCACTCAGATGCGTGGGATTGGCAATGCTGGCCAAAGCGGCGCTGGCTGTTCCGGCCGCCACTCCTGCTGCAGATCCTGGCCAGGCAAAGGGACCCGGTGGAGGAGCCGAGGATCCGGTATTTGGCATAATCAGGGCAAACTCCCCCGAGGGCAGGCGCGAGGGAATGAGCTGAAGTCCACCCATTTGAATGGCCGGAGCCGAGGACTCTGTGCGGCTGTTGTTGTTCAAATCCTGCGGCAGCGAGGGAAACAGGGGAGTGGGGGCAGCCGTGGCCGCGGTTGAGGGAAATAGACCACCGCGATAGCCATTGCTGAAGTTGCTCATCGAACCGATCTGCTCCAGACTATTGGCGCAATTGTTCAAATGGGCGCTCAGTCGCTGACGGACTCCCGTGTCGATGCCATCCATTTGGCTAACATAGCGGTTAACCTCCTCGGCGCACTCCACGAAGCCCGTCTTGAACTTCTGCACCACGCCGGGATCCGATTGGATGGCCATGTTCAGCTGCTGGCGCTGCACCGACTGCAGATGCTTCACCGTCATCTCAAGTATGTCGGCCTTCTCCAGTTTGGTATGACGAGCCGGCTAAAAGTAGAGAGAAGCAGAAAGAACCAAAGTCAGATAATGATGAAATGAAGATGGTCGGGCTAATTGTTTCGGGGCCCTACAACAAGTTCAATGGCTTGGGAAAAAGCAAAGCTAAGGAGCACGTTTCGTGCCTCATATGTCCAACTATTCGCGTGTAATCTGCCGTCCACTTCAGTCGAGTCCACTCTGTAAATATCACACGACCAAGGTGAGATTCAGCAACTACAGCGAGAAGAACGACCGATCTTCGAGCTGTGCACTGAGGGAAAAAGGGTTCTTCGAAAAGGAGTATGGTTCTAAGAGGTTACTGATGATAAAAAACGATATCCGTAAGATCTTTTTAAGATCTCAAATTATGTTTGATATGATACTACATCAGATAATGTTTAAAAAATCTTTTTTTTAAAAATAACTTTGTTCTTGATCTTTCAGATATTTATTTTCGCTCAGTGCGATCTTCGTCATTCCTCGCTCCCCGTTTCTCCGTCTCTTTCTCGCCTTCTGGGACTGCATATTTTAGCAAAAGGTTCCCACGCAGGTCGCTCGCCAGTCCCCGCCCCCTCGCCCTCCGAGCCTCACCCTCCCCCGCTCTCCTGTCTGAACCTTTTGTTTACTTTTGCTTTTTTCCCTCAATGTCTTTCTTATTTGATTTTTGGTCCGGCTCTCCTGCAGAATTCTGCGGCGGCAAATTTTACTTGATTTCAGCTTTGTAGTTTTCTCACAGCAGGATCACTCCTTGGAAAACTGGTTTCGTTCGCATCTCCAGCGATTTCTGCGTAATTCCTCGACTTGTTAACACTTTTTGGTCTCTTGACTGACTCCTCGTCGGCGCTCTCGTGTAATGATCATCAATAAAATTTAATACTCAATTAGAGCCCTTCGTTTGTGTTTCTTTCTTTTTGCTGTTCGAGTGTCGTAGGAGTTGGTTTTTTATATAGTTTTTTGTCCTTTTGTAGTTTTGCCGCCTCTGGACACTTGTGTCTCAAGGGTTTTTATGGTCTGACATAATTTATAAGGAAAGTGAACTGATATGGATCGGGAACCTAGTTTCTAAATCGCGGGCGGACAACTCCTTTTCGTCCCTGACTCATGGCGGGGATACTTACGTCTTTTTTCATAGCCTCCAGGATAAGGGACTTCAGTTCGTTGAGGCAGTGATTAATGCGAGCCCGACGACGTTTCTCCATTATCGGTTTGTTTGTCTAAAAGGGAAAGAAAGGAAAAGCAATTAGTTAATTGTCGAAGTTTGAAAGGGATTTATTAGAAGTTCAATAAAATGTTTAAACAACAATTTATTTTGCTTCAAAAATTTATGTTTCCTGATATTTTAATTTAAAATGCATGATTCTTTTTTTATCTCATGATAAAGATTTTCAATACAATGTTCGAAATGGCTTTTTTTTAATTTCCAGAGCTATTTCCAACCAATAATACCACACTCACCTTTCTTAATTCCGCCTTTGACAATCCATTGGGATTAGACATGCGTCCATTAGTGCCATAGCTATCGCTATAGCCATTGGAGCAGTCGAAATCGTCGTCCGAATTAATATCGTTTTTGTAATCCATTTTGTAACGATTTTAATTTGTATATCCAAGTAAGAAGTAATCCAAAATATGTCGGCTTCGGTTTGGTTTTTGTCACAACACAATAACTTTGGTTCAAGTACGAAAACAGTTATAACAATTATTGCACGTACTTTTTAGTAATGTCCGAACAACAAAAACTTAACAAGCGGTACGCGTTTTAAAATCGTTCTAGTGTTATATGGTATTTCAGGTATTTTCATTCGAGGGAGTGCGGCAGACGACCGCGCTCACGAGATGCCAAAAGGATACTGATCCTCGAAGGCGACGAGCAGTGACTAAAAACGAATCGAGGCGAAGGCGAAACGAGTCCCCGAGTGAAACCAAGGCGCTCGTTTACCTGGCTACGCGGGCAGCGGCAGCGGCAGAGGCAGGTAGACAGCTCAACGATCGCCGTCTGCAGACTGAGAACTTCCACCGCAGCAGCAGAATTCCACTCAAACGAAGAGTGAGTGAGTGTAAATTACGAAACAGAACCACCCCAGTGAGCTGGGCATTTTCGATTTGGATGAGTGAGTTATTCCGATGCAGGCAGAGTTGTCGAGCCGACGAATTGCGAAAACCAGGGATTAGGGAAAGTAGGAGCTTAACTTAAGTAAACGAACTTAAGCCCGACTCTGATCTAGAAACAACACAACATTCAGTCAAGTCATTAGTGGACTGTTAAGAACCAACTCCCGTTTTGAGGTGTTTTTACCTTATTATTTCAAAGACAAATCACCTCAAAAGAAAATATAGCAGATACCATATGAACGCTCGTTGAAGTGATAGGTTGTTCAAGATAGATACATTGAATCCTACTCGATCTAAGCTTTAATTATATTTGTATTATATTTCTTGATTTTACTAGGTTTTTAACCTGAGCATTACTCTAATTCAAAATTTTAGAATTAGAGGTTTAGTAAGATTATAACTATCAGAAACGAAATAAATATTCCAACTTGCGTTCCTCAATTATTGTAATAGTTTTAAAAAAGTATCTCAAAAATTATATCAACGAAAGATCTTGTGTAGGAAAAATCATTGTATCTTGGAAAATAAAATGTATCAACTGATGTGTAAAATAAATTGTTGATATCAATAAGTAGGATTTCGCGCGACAGATGTTTGTACATACGGCCTTCATAAGTCCGGCTGTATTTTGGGAGTCTGATAGCAATTTTAGTCGCACCGATTTCACCCTTGGCAGGGGCAAACTTGATCAATGCCCGTCCAATGATTTGCAATTCATTAAGGAAAACTCCTTGGCAATTGTTTGACGCAGCTGCCGCAACCCCCGTGACAACCCAACCCCCTTGCAAGGCGAAATGCTGAGATTCAGATTCCTTATTTTTGCCTGGCCTGCCTCATCAGGAGCGTCTTAAGGGGGTTGCTAGGGATTGGGACCGGGATTGCGACTTACGATGTATCAGAAAGATCTAAATCAGACCTGGATCTCGTCTGGGGTCTCGGATTCAGGGTCGGGGGCAATCATTACGGAGCTTACCTGACTCGGCCTGTTTTAATAGCCGATCCCCGGGCAGATTTTCCTTTTTCAGGCAAATTTATTACTTTACGATGTTGGCAGGATTACGACCAAAGGAGTTGTCAATAACCATGGTCGCAGGCCATACGCCAGCTGACAGCTGACATAGCATCTACCTATATCCCGATCCCGATTTGGGGAGTTTCTGGGTGGAATCGTAAAAGTATTGCGCCGCCTGGCAACCCTGGTTGTGCAAAGTGATCCCTCGCAGTTTGAGCGTAAATCCCGTGTTGGGCAATAATCTGTGCTGATCATCCATCATCATCCACAAGCTCTGCAGCACTGATCATGTCAACTTTGGTAAATTGAATAAATGCTAGTGCCGTGGCTGACGAACTAAAACAACTAAACCATGGGGTTCGTTCAAATTCTGGACTGATGAGCACATCACCCTGCTTAATAACGATCACTTTGGCTCCTTTGAGTGCCGCAAATTTGGCAAACATTTTCCCACGAAAACCCCAAACAAACACGATGAGCTGGCAGAATGTAAAAGAGAGAAGAAACCTCAGAACCATCCGACATATGTGGATCAATCGTCTGGCGAAACGTGCAGAGTCTGCTGCTTCTGCTGGTGCTTCTGCTTCTTCAGAAACTGAGAATTGAAATTCTATAACGAAGAAACCAGGCAGAAATCAAAGTTCAATATCAGCCCCAAACACCGGTGCTGTGGCTTCTCTTCCTTTTTTCTTTCTTCCCTGCCAAGGGATCAAGGTAAACGCCATTTAGTGTGGCACGATCGCTGACGATCGGTAGCCCGGCCGGCTTGTATCTGTATCTTTCAGTCCTCCTTTTTGGGGCTTCCCGGGCACCGATCCTCGGTGCGTTGTTCCCAACGCACGATTTACACATTAAAACACTTTAATTTTTATTGTACAGCCGGTCGGTTGGGAGCTTCGATCTGTCGGCCAGTGACGATCTACTTCCCTCTTTTTTAATCAATTCTGAGGGGACCGGAGACGGAGACCTTTCTCAACCTCAAATTAGTGACTTTGGGAGTATGTATTTTTAGCTGTGGGAACTGCAGTTATTACTTGGGGTGTGCTGGCTGCAACGCCCCCGCACCTCTCCCATACGAATATCTGCCCAGACGTGCACCAAAAATAATGAGCATGAAAAATATGAAACGGTAGCAAATGTGTGAACTGATCCAAACGGAACTAAACCCAAGTGGATTTCGGTCGGGGAAAGCGGGGGGGTGGGGCAGGGAATAGAACTCCTCCTTTGAGCAAGATATATGTTGATTTAAATGAATTCCTTGTTGATTTTTATGGCGCTTAGCCGCGAGGGGAAAACCTGAGTGAAGTGTGCGGTCTGCGGGGCATTAGAAGTCGTGACGGGCCGCCCAACTATTTGATTGTTTTTTCCTTCTGTGGGAGATTTTATTTTTATGAATTTGATAAATGGCCAGCCAGGAGTCGGGCTAATAACTGGAAAGTTCTTTCTGACAGACTCCAAAAAGGGGGAAAAGTATTTTCCACCCAAAAAAAGAGATGCAGGCAGCTATAAGTTATAGGTTCTCAAGAAAGGGGAATTGTCACACTTTTGGTGGTTGCCTTCGGCATTTTTTTATGGCTTTTTGTTATATTTGGTTATGCAGTAAAATATCCACAGCTGGAATTTCCCTATCTCACACCTTATATGAGGCAAAATAGGTTTATTGTCAAACGAGAATGGAATATACGCAGTTGGTCACTGAGAGTATTGTATAATTCAAACTTTAATAGAAAGTAGTTATGGAATTAGTAAAACCTTTAAAGAAATATTACATTGCACAAGTATTCATATTTAATTTTAGTTTAGAATATAAAAAATCTTTATGGTTATATATCTTATGGCCCAAATAACTGCCGATTCAAGATCATTGATCCCAATGATTGGTGACCCTAGCCAGCTGATGTAACGGTCACTTGGAAGATCAGCTGCTCCTAAGCCAACATTTGCACTAAACTGTCTTTCGCTCTCGTGCCAAAGATTGCCACATCTGCCGACCCCATCCCACTCTCCATCCTCCTCGGCTGCATCCCCCGTCACTTCTTTGGGCTATGACAACAATGGATTATGGCCCGGACAATGGTCGGCGCTAAGGAAAACTGACTTTCCAGGGGCCGACGGGGTTTTCCTTCGGCTTCTAGCGGGCCCTAATTGCTGGCAAACATCTTACATAACATCGAAGGAGATGCGTCTCGGAATGGATTTCGTATGGAGTGTGCCTGATGCGAAACAGCTGCTGAAGATCACAAAAACTATGATGACGAGGAAGGGTTGCGGGGAGATTAAGTGGGATTTGTTTATTGTAAGGATTTGCGGTTGCAGTTACTGTGGCACTTTTCCAACCCAACCCTAACATCTGTCATAAAAAACTTCTTGGTTTTTCAAAAATTCAGGGGCAATAAAAAATAGAAACTTTAAGTCCTTCCTCTTTTTAATTATATCACCAGTTAAGACTATTAAAAAATGTTCCTTAGTTTCTCAATATATTCAAGACTAAATGAAAACCTGAATTTAAATCAATTGACAGTGAAATTAGTGAGAACCTAGCACAGTTGACTCTACAAAAATTCTCTTGAAATTCCCTTACTCTACCTTCCCATTCTTCCCCTAGACGTCAACAACTGTAAATCTTCCAATAAGTACAGTCATCCCCCTAGGGTAAAAATCGAGCCACCGCGAGTCATATCAATTCATAACTGCATAATAATTCCGACAGAGGCTAAAATTAAAACAGGAGTCGCTGCGGAATAATGTGAGAAAAAAACTTTCTCACGATCACCTTGATGTCGCGCAGACGGCGTTTAGTGGAAATCCACGTGCAAAAGGGGGAAGTTCGGCAGGACGGAAGGAAGGAAACCACCACCAAAAGCAGGCGGAGTAGGACGCAGGACCCTCTGATGGTGGTGGTTAGTCCCTCCTCCTCCCCCTCCCCCCTTCTCCACTTCATCGACCGATCGCCAGAAGTGCATGAGAATTTAAATTACAAACAAACAGAGAGAGCGCACAATCAACGGGCTTTGTCCGTATGCGTGTGTGCATCGGCATGCGATAAAGTGAAGAGGGGAGGAGGGTGGGGAAGGGGTAGGGTGTCAGGACGAGGCGTGTGTGGGAACTTTTGACGAGGACACTCGAGCATGAAGCGGGTCATCCGACAGAGGGCAATTATTATCCAGCTCCTTTTTTATAGCAATTCCCACACGCCCACAAGAGGCGTTAGCTTGCTAACCGCTCTCCGAGAAGAATCAAATGGAGAATTATGGCAAGCGAGAGTGTGAGAGAGATGCGAAAGCCACGTTCTCAGCCATACAAAAACAACACCCACGGGAAAAAGCATCGTTTTTAACGGAAAGAGCATAATTTTATCCCAGCGCGAGAGATAAGCTCAGCTTCTTTTGGAGCTGCTCTCACGGTCATGCGCAGCATTGCAACAAAAGCGGAGAATAAACAGCAATCACAATAAACAGGGGCGTATGGCTTAAGAGGGGATAATAACATGAGAAGCTATCAGATTAGTCCTTAAAAATCAAGCTAAGCTTGATAACTTTAATTACTTTTAACTTTTTTTTTTAAACAACAACTTTTATCGAAGATCTACAAGACTTAAATAAGCAAAGCTTAGAAATTAATTGCGAGCACCAACTACTTTCTTAAACAGAACATAATATACGAAGTTAAAATAAAAAAAGTTTTAGTTTTGAGAGTTTTATTTGTTTCGTAGATCTTTTAAAAAATAGTTTTTAGATATCTACATATTTTCAGAAGTGTTTGAAACTATCATCAGTCCCATAATAAATTACGGAATAAATAAAGATTTTTTTTTAAATAAAATACATTTTCAGAATGAATTAATGTTAATGCAAAACTGCAATTGTTTTATTAAAAAATAAGTTTCAAATAATGTATCCCAAAAAGTAACCAATATAGGACCCCCTCGACACCGCCCCTGCTTCAAGGAAAAGTCAAAGTCATCCCTGCCGATTATTTCTTCCTGTGCATATCAGCAGGCGATTGTAATGCGATCCGTGGCCACTCAAGAGCAGCCATTCAGGCCAGAAATCTGGAATCCCAAGTGCGGGGACACATGAATGCATTTCTTTGCCTATTTTTAAACATGGCATTCCGTTCCAAGTGATAAGGCCTTTGAAAACAGTCCTCTTTTCGCCCGTTGCATGTTGCATTTCGCTGCCCCTGTGTGTGTGTGTGTATGCGTGGTATTACTCATGCGCTCTCACTCCAAGCGTCGTTCGGTATTTTCCCGGCTCCCTTTCGGTATTTTCCAGGGTCACACTGCGCCGGAGCTGGGGCGTTGTTGTTGCCGCCGAGAGCGGAGCAGAAGTATTTAGCGCGTTGCCGCCGACGGTCCTACTGACACAGAAAATGCAAAAAAAGTAAGAGCGAAAAGAGCTGGCGTAGGCGTGACAAAAGCGGTGAAAAAGCAACGGTTCTGGTGCAAGAAAAGTGTAAGAACTACAGTGAAGCCAAGCAGCGAACGAATATCGAAAGCAGAAGGCCCAACTTGGCGCTATTCCAATGAATAGTCCTCGCTCGAACGCGGTCAATGGCGGCAGCGGCGGCGCCATCTCCGCTCTGCCCAGCACCCTGGCCCAACTGGCGCTGCGCGACAAGCAGCAGGCTGCGTCGGCATCGGCGTCGGCGTCCTCTGCCACGAACGGCAGCAGCGGCGGCGGCAGCGAGTCCTTGGTGGGCGTCGGCGGACGACCGCCCAACCAGCCGCCCAGTGTGCCAGTGACGGCCAGTGGCAAGCTGGACGCCAGCAGCGGAGGCGCCTCCAACGGCGACTCGAACAAATTGACGCACGACCTGCAGGAGAAGGAGCACCAGCAGGCGCAGAAGCCACAGAAGCCGCCGCTCCCGGTGCGCCAGAAGCCCATGGAGATCGCCGGCTATGTGGGCTTCGCCAATCTGCCCAACCAGGTCTACCGCAAGGCCGTCAAGCGGGGATTCGAGTTCACCCTGATGGTGGTCGGGGCCAGTGGGCTGGGCAAGTCCACTCTGATCAACTCCATGTTCCTGTCGGACATCTACAATGCGGAGCAGTATCCGGGTCCCTCGCTGCGCAAGAAGAAGACGGTGGCCGTGGAGGCCACCAAGGTGATGCTCAAGGAGAACGGGGTCAATCTCACGCTGACCGTGGTGGACACACCCGGCTTCGGCGATGCCGTCGACAACAGCAACTGCTGGGTGCCCATACTGGAGTACGTGGACAGCAAGTACGAGGAGTACCTGACCGCCGAGTCGCGGGTGTACCGCAAGACCATCTCGGACAGCCGGGTGCACTGCTGCCTGTACTTCATAGCGCCATCGGGCCACGGACTCCTGCCGCTGGACATTGCCTGCATGCAGAGCCTGTCGGACAAGGTGAATCTGGTGCCGGTGATCGCCAAGGCGGACACCATGACGCCCGACGAGGTGCATCTGTTCAAGAAGCAGATCCTCAACGAGATCGCCCAGCACAAGATCAAGATCTACGACTTCCCCGCCACGCTGGAGGATGCGGCCGAGGAGGCCAAGACCACGCAGAATCTGCGCAGCCGAGTGCCATTCGCGGTGGTGGGTGCCAACACCATCATCGAGCAGGACGGAAAGAAGGTGCGGGGCAGGCGCTATCCCTGGGGCCTCGTCGAGGTGGAGAACCTGACGCACTGCGACTTCATAGCGCTGCGGAACATGGTCATACGCACGCACCTGCAGGACCTCAAGGATGTGACGAACAACGTGCACTACGAGAACTACCGCTGCCGGAAGCTATCCGAACTGGGACTGGTGGACGGCAAGGCCAGGCTGTCCAACAAGAACCCACTCACCCAGATGGAGGAGGAGAAGCGGGAGCACGAGCAGAAGATGAAGAAGATGGAGGCCGAGATGGAGCAGGTGTTCGACATGAAGGTCAAGGAGAAGATGCAGAAGCTCAGGGACTCGGAGCTGGAGCTGGCGCGGCGCCACGAGGAGCGCAAGAAGGCGCTGGAGCTGCAGATCCGGGAGCTGGAGGAGAAGAGGCGCGAGTTCGAGCGCGAGAAGAAGGAGTGGGAGGATGTCAACCACGTGACGCTGGAGGAGCTCAAGCGGCGCAGCCTGGGGGCAAACAGCAGCACGGACAACGTGGATGGCAAGAAGGAGAAGAAAAAGAAGGGTCTGTTCTAAGTCAACCCGCTCAAAAAGCCCACTTCCTCCCTACCCCATACACTTAAGCGCTAATCTCGAGAACAAAACAAACGAAAGCCAACCCCTAGCGTATCCTACACTTATACCTACCACATAAAGTAATTCGAAAAGTGCATAAATATATATCTATTGTTGGGCCCCCAGCCGCCCCACAAGGCTTCTATTCGCACAGCAATCGCCCCGCGATGGCGTTGCATTTGTTTTCTACATTACTATACGAGTACATATAACACATAGCAGTTGCAGTATTTTACCAATATATATATCCACGCATTACTTGACGAAACACATTTGCTAGCCTAATGAATTGAACACGCAAACGAATTAAATCGAGACAGTAACAAACGGTATTTACAAAATACTTAAATATCTTAAAGCTTAAAAGTAAAAATAAAAACGGAAAACCTAAGCAAAAAGTACGAGTACGAGGCGAAATCGATCCTAAAATTAATTATAACGAATAACGAACCCATGTATAACGTATGCTATTGATATTGTAATTGTATTTTACCTATTATGCATAAAGTCATAAAACACCCGAAACCACACACACCAGCAAAGGCAAAAGCGGCAACAGCAGCAGAAAACATCAAGAAACAAAATATACTCTTGCATTTTACAAAATAAAGTCTTCTCTTTAGTTTAACTACATAAAAACGGAAAAGAATTCCATATTGACTTTATTGTTTACTCAACTGCAGCGGAACGAAGCGATCGAACAGGGTGTTCTTCAGATCCAATCTGTATGGCACACGTCTGGGAATTATCAACGTGACGCTAAGTTTTGAAATACGGACTGCCATGAATGAAGCGAACATTCTCCAATCTCTGACTAATTTTTCGAAAGACTTAAAGGCGGCGAGGGCAAATAGATGAGTCATTCCATTCTACAGGAGCATTGGCTTGTGAACGTGGTTTGAGTCAAGCCGATAGTTAAATCACTCGCCGCAAACATTTAAAAGTGTTTACATGCTCCATTGTTAGGTGCTTATTGGACCACTGGAAAATCTCGTGGGGGTCTCGAAAGTACAGTGGATCCTATTTAAAGAAACCATAATTTTCTTTAGAGTTACCCGTTCTTGCCCATATGCGACTCAACCAATTCCGAAAGCCCTGACACTCCCTATGTGTCAATACATGCATACAATCTTTCGATTTATGTACACACAACTTCGGTCAAATTAATAGGTATGCAAAATAAAAGAATGGACTTAAAAATATGATAACATTATTTGGAAAGATTTTGTAAATATTTCTTATACTTTTTACTACAAATTTTAAAAAATTAAATTCCAACCTCTAAAGTTAAATTTTTTTTAATTTGCCAAAATTTTTTAGGTATTTTAAACTGTATAACCGAAGTGCTCTATTAGTTGGTTATAATGATAAAATAGCCAGCTTTATTTTGCGAAAATTAAGATAATGTCAGATAAGATAAAAGGGTTTGCGTGAAGTAAATATTGGATATATTTAGTCATGTCATTAATGAGTTGCAAAACCATTATTGTTCAGAGATACATTCATCACTAAATCCACAGAAATGGCTACCTTATTAATCTGATAGATAAGAAGATTAAAATTATAATTTTTTTTTGTAGGTAGTATTTTGACCGGCCTTATATGTATGTCGTATGAAAGTATTGCATTTTCGCTGGTTCTCCACTTGAAATTGCTTTCTAAATGCCCCAGACACAAGCTTTATAGAGACATGTGTGCATGGATATTTAATTTATGCACAAAAATTAATCCATAGCCCAATTGGAAGGCACTCAATTAGAGCCGTATAAAGCGTAAAATGAAAATCCATTGGTGAAAGACATCGAAGAAATATGGAGCGAGAGTGGGCGGCTGGAGGAGTGGCCATCAAGATATGCTTGTCTGTGTGTGCCAGCGGTGCATGTGCGAGTGTTCGAGTATGTAAGTCAACAACGTTGACGCAGCACTTAACTCAACTCGAAGCAATTGGCTTTGGCGATCAATGAACGCAACACCAGAGCAGAAGAAGCTCCAGTGGAAGAGGCGTCCACTGAGCGAAAATCGTGTGAATAGACCCATAATCACATCATTGTTTGGTATTATATGTCTTTTGTTTATAACTTTTTGGTGATAATATTTTTTAAAATTTTCACATAATCTTTTCAGTTATTTGATCCATTAAATGTTTAAATCTATTGTAATGCCAATAATACAGTCGCGATATCATACAAATCCTGACCCGCTTGCACTTTTTAACTTACAATGAAAATTGTCACAATAAATTGCGCTAAAAATTGATGTGTATTGAGTTTTTTTAACATTTTTTAACATTTTTAAATAATCTTTTTTTTTAGCCATTAAATATCGAAACCTTATGGTAGACCTTAGCACAAATAATTTTTTTAGTTTTAAATGGGTATATTATATTTATAATTATTATATTATATTATGTTCAAATTAAATGTAAAGTGTAATATAATTTATGGAACGTCATTTTAGTCATTGAATAAAACAGTCATGACCATTTTACAGATACCATGAAAATATAACTTGACAGCATTTCTATCTAAATGTTGTATCCTCATTTTTTCTAGTGTATTGAAGTGGAGTTCGTTTTGCTGCTGTGTTGTTTTTAGGACGATGACTCAAAAACAAAACTCATGAGCGGGGGAATGTTGTGGAGTAGGAGGGTAGGTGTATATATGTGTGTTGGGAGCTTATCGGGCTGGAATGAGAGCACAACAGCCCGCTTGTTTTCGCCTGTGGGTGAGCTTCATGTGGCGTCCATCTGGTGAGAGTGTATGAGTGCGTATACGGAACACCCTGTTACTGCGTTTGCTACGCTTGCGGACGGCATTCCTTCACGTCAAACGCGAAAAAAACACCAACCGATCCCAACCATCAAGAGCCAAACGCTTAAGATTAAAAACAAATGTTGACCGTTTCTAACGAGCCGGCACATCGTAGACAGAGCGAGAGAGAAGGAAAGATAGGAAAATAAAGAGCCCCCTCTCCCCAACACACCCACATCGGCCTGACACACTTACGTGACTGAGAGAGAGAGGGAAAGAGCGTTGCGCCTGCGCCTCGCTCTTTATTTTAGGGTACTAAAAAGTATGATCAGTAATGTAATGCACACATAAAATATTTTAGTTATATTAAACTCTTTCAAAAAATTTTTAAAAAAAGATAGACCTTTTTAAATATTGAACTTTTAAGTACAATTGAATTCTAATATGTTAAATAAGATGTTTTTTTTAATAGGTAATTAGTTTTAAAGCCTGTTTTTTTTTAAATTTTTAGTTTTATTTAAATTGGCACTTAACTATAATTTTCAGATACTGAGTATTAAATATTCTGTTTGTTTCTTTACATTTTTAATAAGAGTGTTTTTTAGATGTACATTTAGTTTTTAATATGTTTAATATTCTGTTTTTTTAATAGGTTTCTTAATATTTTAAAGTTTTTTTTTTAATTTTTAGTTTATTTAATTTGGCAATTAATTTTAATCTTTAGATACTAAGTATTTAATAGTCTGTTTAGTTTAATTTACAATGTTTTTATTTGAGATTTCCGTTTTACAGTTTTAAATTGTTCTTTTAACGAGTTCTGACATTTGACATGGCAATGGGAAGAGATTTTTATAGGCTGGTTGCTTCATTGGTTTGTTTGTTTGATTTTCTCCCATTTCCCCTTCCCATTTCCATTCCCTTTTTCAACTCCCCCTTCTGCCCCTGCCCCGCATCGTCTCAATGTCATACTGATAAGGGCGCGTTTCCCGGTTTGTTTGCCTTTGCTTAATGATTGGTCTTATACATATTTTCTTGTTTACAGTGCAAATAAATTGAGATCGTGCGGGCAGCGATCGAGACGTTCTATCAGTTTTATGCAACACTTGTGGGAACGCAACATCGTGGAGTTGATAAAAACGCTGGGTCCATAAATTATCCGGCGCGACTTAATAAACAAACACTTGTTGAAATTGACACATATTTGTTTGGGAGGGCCTTTATAAAGACAGCCAGGATATACGTAGTTAATAGAGCAATAACTTTCCCATTGGTTTGTATTGGACTTAGAAAGGTGATAAGAAGGTCTAGTTCTCACTTATTAATAAAGGACCCGAATGTGGACATAGTCCAAAAATCTTCGTGTGGTCCTATATCCTGCAGCTCGATCGGAAGTGATTCTTCTCGACATCCGTTTCTCTCTTTTTCGATCCCATAGCGGTAAAATTAAATTCACCATCTTCTACTTCCTCACCCACAATCTTTGTGCCTCTTTTTTTCGATTCTTCTTTGTCCCTTTTTTGATTTCCGTTACGCTTGCGCTTGAAGCGTGTATAACATCCGCTCTCTACTTCCCTTTTCTTTCCCGCAAATCTTTCGTTTCGCTTTTGTTGAGCATTTTACAGTTTGAATATTTCCATTGTCCCTACATCCTGGGAATCGCAGCTATTAACAGGTGATCCCGCTATTCTGGCAAATCATTTGCGAAGGTGTGAAAATATTTTCCAGACTCAGAGAGTTTTGAGGGTGGATTTTGATCCATTGTTCGTATTGTTCTTGTTCCAAGTGTGGGAAGTACTCTAATTCTTTAGTACTTAATTGAGTTGTTGTTTAGAGAAATTGATAAAATAATAAATAAAAAGAAGAGAGTGAAGAATGGAATGATTCACAGAAAAATGTTGAATTCCATTACTGATTAAATATGGGATTAAAATTATTATTTCTTTGTAATAGAATTTTTAAAAACGACATGTTTTTGTTAATAAAATGTAAAACAGCAGTTTTTTAAATTCTTTAAATATATACATTTGTATATTTATAATTGGCTGATTTGTGACACAGTTTAGAGTCGGCATCCCCTACTAATGTACAGATTTCTCAGCTCATTTTTGCATTTTTTCTTTATTTTTGGACAGCCATTTATCCCACAATCTGTCAGGACACTTGACACATGGTATCAAGAACACTAACCGCACAATTATGCCTCTTAAACGCTCCCAACAATGCAACGCAACAAAGGACAAAGAGGAAAAAATCAAAACTGAAAGGGCTATTTCGGGTATAATTTCATGTAATTGGGGACAGTTGGCAAAGAGCAGATTTGTGGTCTGCAATCCTGACCCTGGGAACAGATTTCATTGGGCATTGACAGTTGCCCCAGTCGGTTATGCAAACTCAATTTGGGTCACTCACATTTCCTGGGGTCACGAGGGGGGGGCTGCCATCGTTTGTTCATATCGTGGCAGTTCGTCAAGTGACCTGAATGTAGGTTAGGTGGATGGGATGCTGATGCTGCTGTGGT